CCTTTCTAAGGGGGCACGTCGAGCAGGCATGAGGTGTTAATAGCAGCAACCAGAGGAAGCCAAACACGAGAAGTGAAAGATGGATATGCTCGCTTGTCTCCATTTCTTCCTTCCCTCCCTCTCTCCCCTTGTCTCTACTTTGTGAACCAGCTGGGCCCGGTGAAGGGTTTAATTTAGGAGAGTAAAGAATTTGATGGCAGAGATCCATTATAACTGAAGGTCAAAGCACAGAAAGCAGACTTGGAAGCTCGAGCTCTGAAATAAAATTTTTAAGACTTGTTTCTTATTATATTCTTTGTTTTAGCTCATATCTAAAGTATAAGGCTGGTCATTTTTTTATATTAGCAGTATTTTCAACACTCCTGGTACAGAGACCAACACCAACAATGATTTACCTCTACTTGTGATTAATGTCTGTCAATCTGCCAGTCCTGGATTAGTTTATTCATCTGTGCCATAGACCTCCACTGATGTTTAAAAAACAATAACAAATCAGAGAAACAGACTGCTGCACTGAGTGACATGTTTCCTCATTATGACACACAAGAACCTAACATTTGTTAAGAATATCCAGAAGTCTCATGCTTCCTTCAGATGCTGTGAAAAGTCATGGCCATTTGGAGCCCTTAGGGCAACATTTAAAAAAATATATCAAGATCTGATGTTTCATAATGAGGAAATGTCACCCAGTGCAATGGTGTGTTTCCCTGATGTGTTTTTAATTTTAGTGTTTTTAATTTTAACTGTGAAAGTAAGCTAATCTAGGACTGACAGACATTAATCATGAGTAGAGGCAATTCCTTATTGGTTTTAGTCTCTGTGTGTGGGGGAGTGTTGAAAATGCTATTAATATAAAAAATGACTGGCCTTATCCTTTAATCAGGGAAGTAGCCTAAGAACAAATGTTTGTTTTCTGGAAAGTCACAAGTCTCCCTGTTTCCTTAATAGTGTTGTATGGGTTGAAAACCCTTGTCAGTATGTATAAATGACAGGAGGGTCACAGGTCACTAAAGGTAAACACTGGGTTTGCTGTACAAACCACAGAGTAAAGAGGAACTGCAAGAAGCAGATGCAGTTTTCTTTAATGTGATAGAAAATCATGGTAACTTTATCTTCAGAGGCTCTATGGAGGTCCTTAGAGAATCAA